TTGGGTTGGAGCATACGAATTAAGAGTCCTTGGAAATAAACAAAGGACTTCCGAAAGCTTACCAAGACTCCAATAAAAGGATTCGATTGACCTATAAATCAATTAAGGCGAATATAGGATAATATGCGGAAAACACTATTGGTCTTCTCTACACTCAGCACGTGAACAACTTGTTTGAATGAAGTGTGAATAGAGTCATCCCTGTTCTCTCTCTTTAGAAAACTGAAGTCATGAAAAATCTCAGTGATACTTCAGCTGAGGGAGTACTAAGCTACTTTAAAACTATTCTTTTGTACTTGTAAGACTCTGGAGTGTAACAGTGTACTTCGAAAAGCAGAAGTACTCGCTTGTTAGAAGTTGACTTGTTAGAAGTCAAAGAAATATATACAAAACGTCATAAAATAATTAATGTTAGCCTATGAATAAAGCAACTGCATTAGGGAAATATTGAATGGAAATAAATTTAAATATTATGAAACAGCGTAAGAAATAAATTTAAGTTTTTGGGGAAAGGGGGGATGTCGTCATTGCCGGGGGCGCCGAATGTCTGGCACTGTTTGAAACCCAAGTATTTGATGGATTAATACCTAAGTATTTGTCAGTGGGTATTCACTGTCTAATGATAATTTTCCTAAAACTAATAGTCCTCGCTACAGACGCCTTTTTATCGAATTATTAACATCCGGCTGAAACTTCGTAATTAGCTTCTTATCGCAACCTGCAATTATTTTATTTACGACAATGCTCGGAATTGAGGCGTTTTTAATCTGTAGGTCGGCAAACTTTTTCTATTTAATTAGGTACTAAAAACTCGTAAATACCCATTTGCTTTACACTAAAATCGTAAGATATCTTGAGCACAAAGTCAAGGAAAAAGGTGGCTTTCAAGAAAAAAATATTGAGCCGTTTGGCGTGACCTACATCCCCAAATTGTCAAAATAACGAGGTTATATAGGCTAAACGGCTCAATATTTTTGAAGGCCACATTTTTTCTTGACTTCGTCCTCAAGTTATCTTACGATTTAAGAGGAAAACAAATGAGTAAATGAGTTTTTAAAACCTAATTAAATAGACAAACTTTGCCGACCTCCAGATTGAAAACGTCTCAATTCAGAGAATTTGCGTAAATAAAATATTTGTAGATTACGATGAGATAAAGCTATTTTCGAAGTTTCAGCTGGATGTTAATAATTTGATAAAAAGGGGTCTGTACGACGGAGTATAATAACTGTCCTGTAGTTGTTGTTTTTTTTCATATATCCCTAGGTTTATTTCCCTTAAAAGATACATTTTAAAACTTTTGTTGGTTTTAATGTTGTTCAACATCCTAGGATCTTGTTCCTGTACTTTTTGACTGCTGTAGATAAAAATCGTCTAAGTCTATTACGCATGTTACAATGAAGGACATTTTTTTTAAATGTAGTTAGTAAATGATAGCTAAAAACAAAATGAAGGTGCAAAACAAATATTATAAGGATATCATTGAATATTCCTAAATTTCTTGGATTGGATACGAGAGCAACTGTATGGTTTACTACAAATAACAGTAAGTTTCTAAACAATCAACGTTTCATCGATTCGTGTAACATTAGGACAGAAAAAAATTAAACCACGTAAACAAATACCAGACATAGCACATTAATATACATAAGTGTAAATTGAATCATCTTGATCCCTTTTTAGACAAAAACATATAAGCAGGAAAGGTTGCAGGACGTTAGAATCTAAATGTTTTTCTTTTATTTTTTTTTTTTTAGTATTTTATTAATGTTCTTAGTAAAAAGAGAGTGAAAAAAAGTGACTGTATAAAAATTACGAGAACATGCATTGTCAGCGATCAAGAGGTTTCAGGAAATATAAAACCTTTCGTGAAGAAATGCAATATTTTATGCCACAAGGTCAGATTTAGTAATCAGTGGTTAAAACAATAAGGGGAAAGATAAGTTCGGAATGTAGTTCCGAGTGTTTTTTAAAAATTAAAAAACAAAGAGATAGCTTATGAACAAAGCAATAATACGTGGTTAGGTAATTAAATTTGTTCTTCATAGCCCTTGGTAGTATCAAATGGGTTTTTCTTGTACTTGCTGTATACATGTTATATTATTTTTTTATTTAAATGTAAGGTCAAGAATTGAAAAAAATAAAAAAAGAATAGTTATCTACAAAACAAATACAGCTATCATCACACTTTTTTTGGGGGGGAGGTCCTCCCCTTCCTCGCCTTTAAGGCTATACGGGGGGTTTTGCCGGACTAGGGGGTGTGGGCGGGGATTTGAAAGACTCCTCCGGCGCCGGGATGCGAACTCGTGACTATTTTGTATCACTTTATCTTGTATCAAGTTGCCGGGCAACGGTGGTGCTGTGCACACGGCCACCCCGCCCACCGCTATCATCACACTGTAATTAAGCTTCGCAAACATGATAGGACCTATGTTGGGACTCGCAGATCAACACTATCACAATCGGTTTAAATCAAGTTTACCTCACGTTTTTTAAACATTTTAAACCTATTTTGTCAGATAACATCGGGCAAAGGAAAAAAAAAAAACATAGATCCGTCTAAGATGGCCTAGTCATGAATGCAAACACCTGAGGGAGCAAATATTTAGGTGTATAAAATTTATCAAGATCCAGAGGTGTAAATCCTGGGAAGGTGGAAGGGTGGAGCAACATGCCTGTTTTGCAGGGCTTGAAGGTGCTGCCGAATAGATTGATATGAATATACCTTTGAATTATTTAAATTAGTTTATTAGAGGTAGATAAAGATGGTGTTGGAAGTAGATAACCTTGAATAGACGCAGAGATGGCCGTACGTGTTTTGCACACGCGTTGTCCGTCGCTACTTTATGATAAGTTAGTATGAGTTCTTGCGCCCCGCCCCGGTGCTGCACCGTGAAACGAGTTTCTCTATTATTTTTTTTTTATATAGAGAATCTATTATTTTTTTTTCATTTGAACTGTTCAATAACAATAGTGAAAAATTTATATTCTACCAACTAAAAATATTTCCGGGAACTCCACGAATGCCGCAAGGTTTCAAGTTTATTTAGCTTTAGAACTCTGATATTTTATTTATTAATTAATGTAACTTTTCATTGATTAATTAATTGGTATCCTAAATGCTTTAAATCTCATCCTAATATTGAACCATGATCCTATATTTTTGGCCGGCACAGATGAAATTTGGCGATGTCTATTATACTATATTAGAATGAATAAGCATATCTTAGTAAGTGACGACTTGTGAGGATTTAATTAATAAATGATTGCAAAAAATCAAAATGAAGATGCAAAATAGTTTTTTTAGCATATTATGAAAGCTTCCAACTCTTATCCTTAAATCTCTGAAATAACAGTTTTTTTTAAATTATATTTATTGAAATTTACAACTGTATTAAGAATAAAAATACAAATAAATGTTAACAGAACTACAAGAAAGATATGAACCAACTTTTAGAGACACTAATCATTGGTAACTCTCTAATAGCAATCCTAAATTAGAAGGCCATCTTTGCAATCATACGATTATCTGGAATTAAGAAGGATTTACATTAATTATGAAAGGACATATATCTGTATTGTGCCAAACCTAAGACATAGAAAATCTAGGTTTTTAAAGATTATTTTATTTGTCACAAAATAAAGAACATACGGGATTTTTGGAACAATTATGGGTTTATAGGATTGTATAGAGGAATTGGATAGTTAATTAAAGTCCGTCAAATATTGAATAACTGAATTTTCTACTTTAACCTATTCATATAACATGAGGACAGAAAAAACTAAAACTAAATAAATGCTGATCAGAAATACCTTATGTTTTAATACTGTTTTGTGAGTGATGCACTGACGCGAATTCAAGCAGCGAGGAGGGAGTTTAAGGAAAATATTTTTTATATTTGTTTCTAGCAGTGTTCTAGACCAAATGCATGATCAATTGCAATATGTTTTCTTCTTAAATGATAGCACTTTACTTCAGCTACCAAATGTATGCACCTATCAAGTACAAAATATACAGATTTTATCTCAAAAAGCATTATTGTTCATATAGTCACTATTTAAATAAAAAATACTTAAGCTAAGCCCACACCTAAAATTGAATTCTGAAGCTATTTAGTTATTGAATTCTGTTTTATTATTTAATTATTTAGCCAGATTCGAGAGACTTCAAGCTTTGTGTTAAAATCTCCCAAAAATATCCTGAAGATATTTCTTATTTTCTCACTCCATAGTAACTTTTAGCATCACTTAACTTACTCAATAATACAAGCTTCTGAAAACTGTTTAGGAAAAGAAGATTCAAAGATTTGATTTTTTTTTTAAAATATTTTTATTGAAATTTACAACTGTAAACATATATACAACCAGTAAATTTGCAATAGGAATATATTACATGAAGGTACTTGTGAAGAAGCTACCCATTGGTAAAACTTCAAAGATATATTAATTTAGAAGGTCTCTTGGCCATCTTCTTTTCCGACGCCTCGGAGTGTTGTCAGGAATTGTGTTGGATGAAAGTTTACAAACTAGAGGATTGTGTTGACCAAAGAGTTTGGAATGAAAAGAGGAGGTATATCTAGTTCGGGCCATGTATTCCACAAGAGGAATGTTGAGGTCTTTATGGATAATTTTATTTGTTACATAGTAAGGAGCATTTAGGATTTTACGGAGGATTTTGGATTGTAAGAATTGGATGTTTTTGTAGAGCCACAAAGCTCAATACCGTATGTCCAAATAGGGCTGATGTGGTAGGGTAAATGAGTTTTTTCAAAGATTTCTTAAAATCAAAAACTATAAGTACTCTACCATGTCACGGAATGTATCAAAAACATTTAATCTATCGTTTTGTGTATGTATATTGAAATAAATTTACTTATTTGCTTCATATTTCTAAATTCATTTTATTTACCGAAGTTTTAAGAAAAATATTGTTTTAATATTTACATTTTATGTTTAAGTTGCGTTTTCCTGTTTCTATTAAATATATATTTTTAAAATAGTTGATCAGGACTTAACATACACCCCGGCGGTACCCATCCTACCGCGTCCGAATCCCGACTCCCGGACATCCTCCTGTTCCGCGCCTCGATGACGGCTCCCCAGAAGTACCGGTACCCTAATCAGCTGGCAGATTACGAGATATCAGAAGGTATATATAAAGAGGTAGAAAGCAGCCGCTCGTCAGATAACAGAGCCGACCTACTTGTTGCTCTGTGTGGAGGGGATTTCAACTCTTCAGTATCAGCCATGTCTCAGCACCGTAGGGTCATCGAGTACCTCAACAACTCCAATGTGAGTACACTCGGAGCACCAATTAACTTAATTAACAACAGTTATTTATAGTTTAGTATACTTATCCCAATCTCGGCTTATTCTACGGAACATCATATACCTAATATAATAATAAATATTATATAATATGTAAATATAAACAATGTACTAACAATACATACATGCTTATCAATGTGTTTATAAGTAGCCAGTTTCTATTATTGATATAATTCATAATGGTTATGATGAATGTGGTCGCTAGATTCTTATGTACTATTTATTTATGTTTTTGAATCTAATATTTTTGTTAGTAATTCTAATATAAACACTGATAGTATTGATTTTAACCATTAGATAATTGTAAAAAGTATCGATTTATTTAACTTGATAATATTATACCAACATCCTTAATGTTTATTTTTGAGAATAACAGCTCTTATAACCTCTTGATGCAAATCAAACTCTCGATAATCTTTACAAAAAATAAATAAATTAAAACACAGCATGCTTTTATGATAATTAATAATCTCTTCAAAAGAAATGTTTTTTTTCTTTCACTAAAAGCTTGTTCACTTTAACAGTATGAATTCAAAAATAATTTTTAAAAATCTAATTATGAATAGTCAAAAATGTAGAAGTTGATACTTCAAGAAATTTAACGTTTGCCAGCGTAATATAGTTTCTATAAAGCTTATTATTTTATTCTCTGTTTTGTGCAATAATAACTTCCAACTAAACAACAATTGATTTATTTGTTGTATTTACATGTTTACTTTTCGGGATATTCAATCCCATCTTCAGAACTGCAATCCCATGTTTCTTTGTTGATTCGTGGCTAAAAATGGGTTAAATATAATGCATGCTACAATACATGTTAGAATTGAGTTGTAACATTAAATTGGTAATTATCTTAAGTCTAATGTGCTCCATTGTCAGGTTCTATATTCATTTTATAACAAATTATAGTATATAACATCCAGAGCATCAGCATTCCTGTAGACCAATTATTGGGTGTCTGCCATTGTGAATACAGTTGACATTTGGATATGACTGATTATTTTTTACTATTGTTGTTAAATGTTTATTTTTTATGTAGCTAAATTTTAATTTCGTTTAATATATCAGCATAATGTTTCCCCGAATGTTTGGTGTCTGTTTTGTAATTTATTTTTGTTACAAAACAGACACCAAACATGTGACAACATGTATTGTAACATGCATTATATTTAACTCATTTTTAGCCATAAATCAACAAGGAAACATGGGATTGTAGTTCTGAAGATGGGAGTAAATATCCCGAAACGTAAACGTGTAGATTTGGAAATACAACAAATTAATCAATTGTTGTTATATTGGAAGTTATTATTGCCAAAAACATGGAATATCATACAACTTCCCATAAAAAAGGAAAAAAAAAAGAATTTATTTTTTTATTTTATATTTGATGCTGCATTGTTCATTACTTCATCATTATTTGTTTTATTAACATCTACAAATAATTTTGGCTAGCATGCATATATTTTTTTAATTTAAAACCTTGTAAAACTACTTGATTACATTATTAACCGATTGATTTTATACCCAAGGTAGGAGAAACATCGAATCGATTTTAAATTAATATTAAACAATAATTTTATATACAAACTATGATGATTACATATCGGATTTATATTTGCTTTATCATTTAAATGACTTTAAATCAACAATCACCAACCATGGATTTGTTATAAATGTACATAAATTTGCATTTCTAAGTTGTTTTTGTTATTTCTAAAAAATTACCAAAAATTGCGTTATAAACTAATGCAATGTTAATTTAGTCATCTCTTTTTTATTTATGTGTTCATTAAACATTCTCAAATGACCTGTTACATTGCTTGTTGTAATTTTGGGATGAATTGCTGTAATATTTTAATGCATTTTGAACATGAATTATTCTGTAGCTCTTTCAATATTTATTCTTGAATAAAGACATATTTCTGGTAAACTTGTTCAGTAGTTGGTCTGTCAGATAATTTATCTGAATTATGTTGAATTTTCCACACTCATTGCGTTATATCTTTTGAACAGTCGAGGTGATAATGTAATTGTCTTTATATACACCATTTTCTTAGCTTCAATGAAGTAAAATACAAATGAGTTAAACGGTGAACGTTATTCTATAAATAGAGAATTCGTTAAAAAAAAAAATTAAACACAATACCACAAATTCAATACTCTTCGATAAATTAGAAAGGTTGGTTGTTTATTATTTCAAAATATTTGAAGGTTAATTAGGTAATTCTATGATTATAGACCATGTGGAACATCCTATTTTTTTATTTTATTTTTTTTTTTTTTTTACACTTAATAAAACCTGCATTTTAGCTAAAGTAAATGCTAAAGTTAATGGCCTCTGATAGTTTTAATGTCGCTTAGCAGATTTAAAAAACTTTTATTTTTTAAATAGTGAAAATTTCTCCTATTTATTGTTAACTATGATCATTGTTTTCATAAATTTAATCTATCCTCTCATGCCCAAAATGTCAATTTTCTTAACAATAACAACACATCTTAAAACAGGCGTGAATGATAATATGTAATATGTAGTATGTAAGTAATATGTAGTATGTAAAATGTAGTATGTAAATATAACATTACCGAATCTAAACGTCATTTCATAATTGATTGGATACGGTAATGACATTTTATCCCGCAGAGTGGATTTTTTTTTTTTTTTTTTAATGGCGAGTAAACTCAAACCTGATTTACAGTTGTGAAGGAATTGATAATAGCTTTTAAATCATGGTACTAAAAAGTAATTAACTTGAAGCATTACAGCAAAGGATTGTGGTAATGACTAATAAAAATGTACTTGCAAAATAACTTAAATATAGTGTAAAAATGTTATTAATGGAGGTAATTTTTTTGCTTGTTTTCATAGTCCGTTTTTTTCTTTTTCCTGTTCCCAACTATATTCATTATTATTATTTATAATCATTTTACTGCACAATTGCATTTTAAGAGATGTTGAACTAGTGAAACCTGGGAAATTCTGGAGGCGTTCGAATATATAAAAAATAACAATATTGCAAAATCAGTTGTTGTCGCAGACTCCTTGTCAGTTATAATGGAACAACAAAAGTTATAGACCAATAATATTTTGCATCAGAAAATCCAAATCATGAACTTAAAGTTATATCAAGGAGGTCAGGAAATATTTCTTTTATGGGTCCCTTCACATACTGGCATAACAGGGAATGAAGGAGCAAAAGATGCTGTCAGAAGCTGCAATTTCACTTGGATGGTTGGATCGATGTTCGTCAAAGAATGGGTTCACAAGAAAGTGAAAAATAATTTGAATGAACGGTGGACCCGATTACCATTTAGCCACCTCCGCCGGTGGAAAGAGAACAACCATGCTTGGTTACCTCCAAAAAATCTAGCACCAAAAGAATGCTCAGAATAAATTAGCCGATTAAGAATTGTACATACCAAATTGACGCTTCTATACCTGCTTTTAGGGCTTCGCCAACCAATTTGCCAAGCATGTGACAATGTTAACCTCGCCGTTGAATATCTGTTTCAATGTAATAAATAACATAAAGAACGATTAAAACTAAATATTGAAAACATTGTTTCATACAAAGAAATTGAAAAAACATTAAACTAATTAATTTCATTAAATTAATGAATTTTATTTAAGAAGACCAATCGTCCCTAATGTCGAAGCGACGTTAAAAAAAACTGCCATTAAAAACTAAATAAATAAAAATTATTTGCATCTGTAAACAGTTTTTACAGTTAGCAAATGAGCTAATTTGCTTTATTAAATATTGCATGTTGGTTCAACCTCCTGACGTTGAACAACGTTTTGGAATTACTGCTAGTGTTTGGTTTATTGTTATATTTCTTTTAATAAAGCATGACTGACATGTTACAGTATAAATGATCGTTAAATATCGAAAGATTAGCTAGATGAGAAAATACATTTATGAAAAAAATTATGATGTTAGTCAATTGATAAAAACGTTTTTTAAATCATATTTTACTAGTTATAGCTAAGAAGCCCCATACCTAAAATGTGATTTAAAATAAAGTAGTAAATGAATTCTAAAGTACCAGTCCTTCTACTGAATTTTAGAATTTTTTTGGATGAAACTTAAGCATGTGAGATTAATTAATTTGTGAGGAATGCAAAGGATTTTTAAAAAAATGAAGATGTTATAGCCATTTACTATCGTTTTATGAGGCAAATAAAGATGAAGAAATAAAAAGGTCTTATTATATGTAATATTGTAAAGATAATTTTTACATTTAATTTAATTAATTCGTTATTTACATTAAAAATGCTGCATATTATTTCTGAATGCTTTATTATTTCCCAACAATTATACATCTAAAGTAACATTACCTTCCTTGTGACAAATTAAAAGTTAATTCCAATTATTTGCCTAAACATTTTTTTTTTCATCATTAGCTAAAAAAGTAGGATTACTTCAGTAACACATTCAAAAATCCAAAACAAAGGGTTTGCAGTAGAACATAAAAAACATCTAGAGACCATATCTTTGCTTTTAAATGTTCGATTTTAAGGAAATTTCGAAAATTAAAAAAAAAAAACACATCCATACAATATCGATCAACAACCATAATCACACAATATCGACAAAAAAGTGTATACTTTTAGAGTTATTCGGAATCTAATTTTACCATCCCTCGTAACTTTTATGCCAGCTTCATTTCGTTGAAGTGTGTTATATAGATATTAAAGGGCATGTAGAAGAACAATTTAGCCAAGTTTCATTGAAATTCGTTTAGGCGCTATAGTCTATAGCAAAGCAGGTTTTTCAGCCGTCATTTTGTAAGTAAAAGGCAGATAGTAATGTCGATCAAGAGGGATCATCCTCGGGTGACCTCTGATTTTAAATCCGAATTTGGAAAAAATCGGTCCTGTAGTTTCAGAGAAAACGTCGGACGGCGGACAGACAACAAATTTTTTTTTCGTTTTTCGAATTCTACGTATCCTGAAACGTAAAACC